TACACTACATTACTGAAGACCTATTTAATAGCAGTTTCTTTTACCTGGAAAATCATATCCAACTATCAAGAAAAAACAAGAAAAAATTACAAGACATACTAAAATACAAAAAAAAAACACAATTTGAAAAGACAGAGTAAACATCAGAAACATACATAGCTGAGATTTTGGAATTATCAAACTGGGAATTTAAAACAATTATGATTAGTATGCTAAGGCCTCTAACGGATAAAGCAGAGAGCATGCAAGGGCAGATGGAGACTGTAGACAGAGATGGAAATCCTAACAAAGATCCATGAAGAAATATTACAGATCAAAAACACTGGAACAGAAATGAAGAATGCCTTGATTAGTAGACTGGACACAGCTGAGAAAAAAATCTGAGCTTAAGGACATAGTAATAGAAACTTCCAAAACTAAAAGCAAAGAAAACAAAGAGTGACAAGAATAAAACAGACCACCCAACACCTTGGGGGCAATCACAAAAGGAGTAATAAACATATAATAGAATTACCAGAAGGAAATGAACAAAGAACAAAAGAAATAAGTGAAACAATAACTCAGAATTTCCCAAAATTATTGTCAAATACTAAACCACAGATCCAAGAAGCTCAGACAACACAAAACTGGAAAAATGCAAAAACAGACAAACAAACAAAATGTCCTGGCTGGTGTGGCTCAGTGGAATGAGTGCCAGACTGCAAAGCAAAGGGTCACCAGTTTGATTTTGTCAGGGCACATGCCTGGGTTGCTGTCAAGGTTCCCAGTAGGGGGCGCATGAAAGGCAAACACACACGTTTCTCTCCCTTTCTCCCTCTCTTCCCCTCTCTCTAAAAATAAAATAAATAAAATCTTTAAAACAAACAAACAAAAAACATGTACCTAGGCATATCATTTTCAAACTATATAAAGAAAAATTTCTGAAAAAATTTCACCCATAGAAAAATAAAGATAAGAAGTACATCTGACTTCTCTAAAACCATGCCAGCAAGAAGAGAGTAAAAATAAATATTTAGCTATTGAGTCTTCATTTAGTTAGATCTTCTTTGATTGTGTTCATCAAAGTAGAATTTATCCCAGGAATGCATGGCTGATTTAACATATGAAAACCAATTAATACATCAAATCAAGAATATGAAAGACAAAACCCACATGATTATCTCAACAGAGAAAACATTTAACAAAATTCAACAACCCTTCATAATAAACACATTTTTAAATGGTTAAAATAGTATAATTTATGTTTTGTGTATTTTACCATAATAATAATGCTTTTTAATGAACAGATCTGAATAGACATTTCTCCAAAGAAGACACACACAGGACCAACAGGCACATGAAAAATGCTCAACTCCATTAGTCATAGAAGTGTACGCATCACAGCCACAGTGAGACACCACTGCACGCCCACTGACACGGCCACTAAGAAGTGTTGCCGAAGATGAGGAGGAGTAGGAACCCTCATGTAATACTAGTGGGAATGTAAAAGGTGCGGCCACTTTAGAAGACAGTCTGGCAGCTTCTGAAATAATTAAATATTGAGTTACCATATGAACCAGGAATTCTACCCCTAAGTACATGCCCAAGAGAATAAAAACCTATATCCACACAAACACTTGTACTTGAATATTCAGAGCAACTTTAGCCATAATAGCCAAATAGTACAAACAATCCAAATGTACACCAAATGATAAATGGACAAGCAAAGTGTGGTATAGCAATATAATAGGATATTACTTAGCAATAAAGAAATGAAGTATTGATACATGCCAGAACATGGATACAGCTGAAAACATTAAGCTAAATAAAGGAAACCAGTCAGAAAAAAAACACATTACGATGAGATTCCAGATACACGGAATGTCCATAACAGGAAAATGTATGTAGACAGACCAAGGAGATTTAGCAGTTGCTTAGGGCTGGGTGGAATGAGGGATGAAAACATTCTAGAATTAGACTGTGGAGATGACTGCACACTTGTTAATGTACTAAAAACCACTGTACACTTTAAATGATGAATGCACTGTATGATGAATGAATTATATGGTATGTAAGTTATATCTCAATAAAGCAATTACCATAAAAATAAAGAAATAAAGACTTTTTCTTTTTCTTTTTTTTTTGGTCCAATATCTTATTGAGGCAGCAACAGTAGCAGCTGCTCTTGGAGTTTTGCTGTGCCGCCAGAGGACAACACGAAGGAAGACAGATGCCGAGGAGTCGGCCGAGAAGGGCAAAGACCCAGTGGACAAATCGGGGACAAGGCTGAAAAGAAGTGATAGTCCAGGAGCAAGGTTCGAGACACACTCAGTAACCTAGTCCTGCCTGACAAAGCAACACATGGCAAACTCTGTAAGGGAATTCCCAACTGTGAGCTTCCAAGCCCAGCTGGTGTCTCTGAGAAACTGAAGACCCATGGCTCCTGGGCCAGGGGAGCCCCTCACCAGCTCCTTAGTACAGGACTTAGATTCACAGCACAGAGCACAAAAAATTTACACTGGAAATATCAAAGGTGGGGATATCCCCGTTGCTGATAAAGATGCATGAACAACAGGTCCTACCAGCTGTACATTTTCACAAATAAAACATTATTAAATTGTTTAAAAGAGGCGTTCTGAGACAAAAAAAAATAGAAAACTGGCAACATATTTACATTACAAGAAGTGATAAAAGAAATTCTTTCAACAGAAAAAAATACAGTACTGGACAGGAAATGAGATTTATACAAAGAAACAGCCCTTGAGATGGTACAAAGTATGCAATTTTTTATCTTTTATCTCCATTGCTCTAAAAGAAAACTATCTGAAGCAAAAGAGTGTCAAGTACTGTCATTTATAACATATGCAAAAGTAAAATATATGGCAAAAATAATACAAAGGAAGGTAGAAAGTAATTAGGAGTAAACTGTTACACAAGTCTACACCACACCTGAAGCAATTAACAGTATTTGAAAGTGTGATTAAATGTGTATTGTAAAGTCTAGGGCAATCACTAAACATTTCTTTTTTAATTCTGAAAGTATGTTTATTAAAGCAGGGGACAGTGAAACAAAGAAAGGGCTTAGGATAGAAGAAGCAACAGGAAAGAGTTTAAGCAGGGCTGCTTTGACTCTGCAGAAACATTACAGGAAAGAAGTGAGCCAAGGTAGGGCTCCTCTGGCTCACTGAGAAGTCAGAGGAAAAGGGGCCTTGGCGACAGGTTCAGGGGCTCAGTCAGAGAGGAGCTGCTGCCGCCCACTGCTCCCCCAGGTGCAAGTCTCTCGGGGTCCTTCCTTTAGACTTTAGGAGATGCACGGCTGAGAAGAGGTGGAAGGGAAAGGCACAGGTGTGCTCCCAGGATGGGGAGTGCCTAAACATTTTTAAAAGACATATAAATAATAAGTCAAAAGAAGGTGAATGGATCATAAAATAATACTTAACAAATACAAGGACGGAAAAAGAAACAATGAGAACCAATAGCTTTCAAAATGGTAGGTTTTAACAGAATCACATCAATGTAAATGTAAAAGACCGAAGTTGTCAGATTGGATAAAAAAGCATGACACAACTAAAAAACAAGTAAAAACCAATTTGACCACAAAGAATGAATTACTAACCAGACAACTGTCAACAGGCTAGCAATGGCAGCAAACACTTAATCATCAATTGATAAAGATTATTGCATCTCAGAAAAATTATTATTGATAATCTCAAATCTGAAAGTAACAAGTACATCAACAGATCAACCATATTAATAGCCACCTCTAGATGTAATTCAGTGATTTAACAACAAAGCTGTTTATGGTAAATTTTACAAGGCTGAGAATTATACATTAAATCATCGAAATGCAAGTTAACGGTGAAAAAAAGTCTTGTTTATTTTCAGTCAACTATTTTAATAATTTCAACTAGTTATCTTTTTGAGAAGTTCACTGAAATATGTGAACATTTCACATCACATTAAAATGCAAAAATGTAATTATTAGCCCCTGCACCCAGTCCAGCCAGCTCACTCCAGTCTGAGGAGCTGTACAGTGTCCCACCCCCTCCTCCCCTTGCAACCCTGCCAACATGGTGCTACACATTGAAAGAATGGGCCACCTCAGTGCTCTGACCGCTCGGCCCTGGGGAGGGGCTGCTATTCAGGCATCAAACACAGGCCCGCTCTGCTCTCAGTGTGTAAATTCACAAAGATTAATAGGTAACAACAGAAAATGTTACTGGAACAGTGGGAAACAGTAGTTTTGTAAAGGAGGCAAAGGGAGCAGGGGAACTGTTGTTTACTGTAGTTTCCCTGAAGTTGGGAAAAAAATGATGAGTTTGGTGCTTTAGAACATGTGAAACCTGCTAATGAATTCCGTTCTCTATCAGGAGAAGTAACTGAAATTAATGAAGCTCTAGCAGAAAATCCAAGACCTGTCAACAAATCTTGTCAAGATGATGACTGGCTGACAAAGATGACATTGAATAATCCTTCAGAACTAGAGGAACTAATAAGCCCTTAGCCTGGGGGTAGTCGTGTGGGATCAGAACCCAGTTAAATTGTAAGACACCCAGTCTGTGTCTGCTGGAGTTGGAGAACTGCTTGGTGTAAGGAAAAAACCCTACATATTTGATGACCAGAGTGCAGAGTTGAGAGCAGAGGAGATGCACAGAAGAGTTATTCCCTCACCATTTTACTAAGTAACTTTCTAAGTGAGTGGTATTATCTGTATTTTATTGACAAGCAAACATAGGTAGGCTGAAAGCAGTGACTTGGCTGAAGTCCACACACTCAGGGTTGAAGAAAGGACTCAAATCCAAGAGTGCCTAAGTCTGAAGGCCACATTTGTAACACTCTGTCTCTAATAAGTCAATTGTATAAGATCCAGGTAATTGTGACTCCTTAAAATTTTAATGGGATCCAGAATAAACAAAGCACATACATCCTTATTCAGAGAAATCTTTTCCTAATGAAGAAACTAATACCAATTCTATGACTTACAATTTCTAAACCATTCTCAACACAAAAATGAAACATACGTGCAATTTTTTTTCTTTTAGCCAAACATCTTCCTCTATTTGACTGTTTTGTCTTCATTTTCTGCATTCCATTTTCCTCCTTTGGTTCCTGTTGCAAAACAAGAAATATGATTAAGATGGCTGCCATTAAAAGTAGTACTCTTTCAATCTCCTCTATAGCTAAGAGGCCACTGAGTGTCTAAAGAATCAGTGTTTGTAAACATTCACAGGAAACATCAGATCTTTTACAAAAGATCTTTTACAGCACAAAAGTAGATCTGGAGCCAATAAAAATTAAAATGTATAGTGCACTGACATTATCTGGCACACACATGCCTATGTAAAAACTGGCCCATCTATAAACAGCAGTAAGCATGCACCCAACCACGTTCAGAAGAGGCTTGATTGAAGGTTTACAAATCAATAATAATGTTTTAACTCAGTGCATATATATTTTTCAAATCAGTACTTTAAAAAGCAACAGGACAACTTGGGTCAAGTATGCAAAATATTCGTCAGATAAAGGGTTAATTTTCCTTATCCAGTCACACACAGCATAAAGACATTCCAGTTGACAATGGACTACATATACTAAAGTGGTCTCATAGGATTGTATTTGAACAGCCCTGGCTGGTGTGACTCAGTGGATTGAACACCAGCCTATGAACCCAAGGGTTGCTGGTGTGACTCCCAGTCAGGTGTACATGTCTGGGTTGCTGGGCTCCAGTGGGGGTGCACAAGAGGAAACCACACATTGATGTTTCTCTCACTCTCTTTCTCCCTCCCTCCCCCTCTAAAAATAAATAAATAAAATCTTTTTAAAAAGATTATAATGGAACTGAAAAATTTCTATCTTTGAGTGACACCATAGCCATTGTAACATCATACACAACACATTACATGTTTGTGGTGATGCTGGTGTAAACAAATCTACTGTGCTGCCAACTGTATAAAAGCATAACATATACAACTGAAGAGTATAGTACATAATACTTAATAATGACAATAAATGACTACGTTACTGGTTTATATATTATTAAACTATACTTTTAATCATTATTTTACAATGTTCTCTTTCTACTTATTTCTAAAAAAGTTTACTGTAAAACAGTATGCCATGTTATACCAACAGTAACCTCATACATTTTGTGCTTACTGTATCTCTTGATTGAACCATTTTTTTCTTATACTTCTTTAATCCAGTGTTGTTCTGTACAGTAACATGCTGTACAAGTTTGTGGCCTAGGAGCAATAGGCTATACCATATAACCTAAATGTGTAGTAAACTAAACCTTCTAGGTCTGTGTAAGTACACGCTATGATGTTCACACAGTGAAATCTCCTAACAATGCATCTCTCAGAATGTGCCATTAAACAGTGCATGATTATATATAAAGAGCTCTTACAAATCAATAAAAGACCAATATTTAGCCTCTTCCCATAGGATAGGACAAAATAAGACACTTCATAGGAAAACATACACAGCAGCTCATAAGTATATGGGAAGATGCTCAACTTCACTTTAGATATGCCAATCAAAACAATTATGTTGACTTTTTTTTTTTACCTACACTAGGTAAAAATAACATATTTTATAAAACACTGTGGGGAAACAGATACATACCACTGATGGGATAAAGAGGATGCAGTATGTTTAGAGGGCTAATTGGCAATAACCACTAAAATCATAAATATACACGCTCTTTGTTCAGCAATACTTCTAGGAATTTATTCTAAAGATATGCTCACATATTAACATAAAGATGTATGTACAATAATTTTCAGAGTAGAATATTTTGTCATTGTAAAAGACTGTAAACAACCTCAATCAATGCTACTCAAAGTACAATACACAAGTGACAGCACACTGCTTGTTATTAGTCTGTAGCAAAATAAGCATAGAAACTGAGAATGAGCATTTACAGCAATTTGACATTGCTAGAGCATCCATGCAGGATAATAGACCTTCCATGGTAAAAGCAGCAGACTAGTTATTGGCAAAAGCACCAAATTATAATATGTGATAGTTTAAGATTAGTTATTTATTAAAATTCAAAGTACATAAATTATCTGGAAAAAATAGACATTTATTTGCAACATTATATTAACTATAATTTTAATTTTTTAATAAAGCCTGTTTTTAAATTATACTTTATACTGTTAGTTAAATAAGAAAAGTTCATAGCCCTGGCTGGCGTAGCTCAGTGGATTAAGCGCGGGCTGCGAACCAAAGTCGCAGATTCAATTCCCAATTAGGGTACATGCCCGGGTTGCAGGCCATGACCCTCAGCAACTGCACATTGATGTTTCTCTCTCTCTCTTTCTCCCTCCCTTCCCTCTCTAAAAATAAATAAATAAAATCTTTAAAAATAAAAAAAAAGAAAGTTCATTATGACCCAGCAATTCCACTTCTGAGAATTCATCCAAAGAAACCTGAAACACTAATTCAAAAGAATATATGGACCCCTATGTTCTTTGCAATGCTATTTACAATAGCCAAGATTTGGAAGCAGCCCAAGTGTCCATCAATAGATGAGTAGAGAAAACAACTATGGGACATGAACATAATGGAATTCTACTCAGCCGTAAAAAAAGAAGAAAATTTTGCCTTTTGCAACAGTATGGATGGTCTTGGAGAACATTATGCAAAATGAATTAAGCCAGTCAGAGAAAGATAAGTACCATATGATTTTACTCATGTGTGGAATCTAATGAAAAAATTGAACTAACAAGCAAAACAGGGACAGACTCATAGGTAGCAAGCTGACAGCTCATGGTGAGGTACTGGGTGGAGGGATCGAGCAAAAAAGAAAAAACTCATGGACATGAACAACAGTGCAGTGATTGTGGGAGGGACGCCATGGGTGATGGTAGAAGAGGACATAAGAGGAATAAATGGTAATAAAACTATTCTAAAAATGGGAAGGACTTCAGTAAAGATGGCAGTGTAGGCAGACATGGCTCACCTCTTCACACAACCACATCGTAATTACAACTAAAATACAGAACCACCATCGCTCAGAACCATCAGAAATCAAGTGTAATGGATGTCTGACAACTACAGAATTAAAGAAACCACATCCATCCACACTAGTAGGAGGGGAACAGACCAGAAACTGGCTCATCTCACACCCATGTGTGAATAAAAATTCAGGAGAGATATGGGTGGCGAGGGGGGGAGTCCCAGACCCACACCAGGCCCCCCCAGCTCAGGATTCCAGTCCCCACAACTTCTGGCTGCAAAAGCCAGTGGGGATTCAGTCTGTGGAAGAAACTGCTGGAGCCCAAAGCAGTTTCGCCTAAATAACCCATACACAGACGCCCCTACTCAAGACTCACTCCCTCTAGCTCCAGCACTGGGGTAGCAACTTGAAAGGCACCAGTGGGTATAGAGGGAGAAACTGAAGCATATGGCATCAGGGCAAGCAGAGGCCACTGTCCCTTTTCTAAACCCTCCCCACACAGAGCCAGTAGACTGGTGCCATATCTGAGGCTCCATCAACCTGGCTAACACTGTTCGACTCACCTTGGAGAGCCCCAGAGACCCTGCCCCACCCAACTTATGGCCCAACCCAAGCTGCTTTTCCAAATGAATGGCTGGTCTCCATATGAAGTTGCTTCACAACTTCCTAAATCCTCTCAAACAAGCAACAGCTGACTTCTGTGAGCCCCAGGCCTGGCACTAGCAGCAACCAGATTAGAACCACAGCTTGGCTTTGCCTAGGAATCCCTAAACTCAACACAAGTACCAGCCATCTCAGACAGCTTTATAGCTCAGACAGGATGGCCCCGAGGCAAAAGAGGGCGGGGGGGGTAGGGGGGGCTAACCTTGGCCTGTACCACCTGGGAAACCCCAAAGTACGCACACCCAGTGGACAGCTACAGACCACGACGGAGTTCTACCACCCTGCCCTTGCACAGCTTATCCTCCGTGGATGATGGAGTTTGGTGGTTAGTGGTCACAGCCTGAGTAAATGAACTAGCCTGAGTAAATCCCTTCCACTGACCTGCCAAAAGCAATCAAGGTTCAACTACAAGAGGAGAATGTACTCAGCCCACACAAAGGGCACACCTTGAGTACCCAGCTTGGGTGACAGGGGACGGTGTGCCACTGGACCCTACAGGACACCTACTACAATAGGCCACACTACCAAGACATGGAGTCAAAGAAGCTCTACCTAATACATAGAAACAAAGGGAGGCTGCCAAAATGCAGAGACAAAGAAACATGGCCCAAATAAAAGAACAGATCAAAACTCAAGAAAAAAAACTAAACAAAATGGAGATAAGCAATCTATCCACATGCAGAGTTCACAACACTGGTTATAAGGATGCTCAAGGAACTTAGTGATGACCTCAGCAGCATAAATAAGACTTAGTCAAAAAACTAAGGATTCACTAATTGAAATAAAGAACAATTTCAGGGAAACAAAGGTAGAGTGGATGAAACTGAGAATCAGATCAATGATTTGGAACATAAGGAAGCAAAAAACCACCACAAAGAACAAAAAGAAAAAAGAATCTCCCCAAAATGAGGTCAGTATAAGCAGCCTCTGGGACAACTTCAAGAGGTCCAACATTAGCATCATAGGGGTGCCAGAAGGAGAACAGAAAGAGCAAGAAATTGAAATCTCTCTGAAAAAATAGTGAAAAAAAAAAAAGTTTTCTAATTTAGTGAAGGAAATAGACATGCAAGTGTAGGAAGCATAGAGAGTCCCAAACAAAATGGATGCAAAGAGAGGCCTACTCCAAGATACAGCATAATTAATATACCAAAAGTTAAAGATAGAATCTTAAAAGCAGCAAGAGAAAAGTAGTTAATTACATATAGGGGATTTCCCATAAGACAGTCAGCTCATTTCTCTAAAGAAGCTTTGCAGGCTAGAAGGGATTGGCAAGAAATATTTAAAGTCATGAAAAAGCAGGGACCTAAGCCAGCATTACTCTACCCAGCAAAGCTATCATTTAGAATTGAAGGGCAGGTAAAGAGCTGCACAGTCAAGAAAAAACTAAAGGAGTTCATCATCACCAAACCATTACTATATGAAATCTTAAAGAGACTTTATAAGAAAAAGATCAAAACTATGAACAATAAAATGGCAATAAATA